GAATGTATGTCATTATATGTACACTTTAGGTGGCTGCAGTACATCAAATTCCGCTAGGCCGCGCTTTGTCTTCCTGGCCCATCCGCCAATTGGTAAATACATCTCGGTAAAATATATCTCCAACAGAATCCAATATGATCTTCGGTGGAGACAAGAGACAAGGCAGAAGTTTTTATAGAGATTGCTCTGCAGCAAATTGAAAGAAGGAGGTTAACAAATGTTGTTTCGTAGATTTTTCATACCGCCTTGTGCAAAACTAGGGTTTGCACTGTCTTTGATCCCAAAACCGTAAATCCGAATATTTTTGACAGTACCATCACCCGTTTTTAGAGGACTAGAAATGTTTGTGAAGTGGTGAACTGTTTGTGCATGCTGATGATTGGGTGGCTATTCATTTCTGAACTAAACATCACTTGAGTAAAATGTCTAATCTAATCTTTTATGGGTGAAATACGTAATATAGAGGTAGAAAATTTGTCTAGAAGAGCCGAAAATGTCTAAAGCAATCACACCTATACCCCGGCAATCTCTTTCTCATGTCTCGACAAGAACAATTCCATGACACATACCTCATACACAAGTTACTGTGTATAAGACGAAGAGAATAATTGTCAAAGTTTGTCATAAAACACAGAAAATCGTTAGCTTTCTCATCGAAAATTCTCGTTACATTATCACCCTAGCCTAACACACTTGCATGGTTGCCAACTCATACATAACCTGTGCTTAGTGCTTGTAACGGAGTTCTCCATATATCCATTTCAGATGAATAGTTACAATTTTCTCTATTACAAATCCAATACTTTTAGGTCATTAATATTTCACGACCGCGCCAACAGTGAAAGCCTATCCTGATTATATCCATGAATTACTTCTGAGCTTTTGAACCCAATTTGTCAGCATATGACAGCGGTGGAATTGTCTCCAATTTGCGGTAAAAAAAAGCTTGCGCCATTTGGTCAATTACATTACATGATATTAGTAGGATTGCGACTTAAGCAGGAACACCACACTTATTCACTTCGCCCAGAAGGTTGTGTTTTCGGGACCGTGTTTGTCTGTCTGCGTGTGTGCTTATGAACAGCATAACTCGAAAAGTCGTCGGTGGCTCTTATCATGATGATATTTTGGAGGTTGTGACCAAAACTAAAAATGTTTAGATTTTGGCCTCTTGGCAGCTTTCCGCGGTACTGCAGTGCTTTGGACATCTCAAGTTGTCTCGCTGTCATAGGCTCATTCTCTGCTTTCCAAGCGGAGGTTTGAGACGTCTTGTTATGCGTTTTTGCCCGGATTTCTATTTTCTCAGCTTTTATTTGTGTACTGTCTTTCAGTGGGACATAGAATAGCTTTTAAGGTAGGGAACAAGCTTCATGTGCATTAAAGATAACTGAGTTTGATTTGATAATCATGACATTTGTAACGGGTAGAAATAAACATCAGGTGAGATGAAGAGTCTTGAAATTCCCCCAAAAAAATTCAATTTCGTTTTTTGAACTCAACCATTTCACGGAGGCGTGGCCATGGGTTCTACCTGTTTCTTCTGTCCCGAGTTAAAATTGGGAAGCGCGCATGCCCTAGACCTCACCACAATGGGTCATTCAAAATTTCCCCGTACACACTGTCATTTTAAAACAGATAATAAAAGCCTAGAGCAAATACCAAAGATGGTAACCTTTGGCCGTTTTCCCGCCTTGAAACCTTCAACAGGTGTGAACTTAGCACATTATTCGTGCTTTTACAGCCAGAGTAACATTATTTCGGTATTTGCGGATTATAATACGGCTGGCCCCTTCTGGCGGTCTGACTTTGATGGGAAAGGGGCATGGAGGTGTTGACCCGGTATAAAATCGGCGTTCAGGTATCGATTTCTGACACAACAATGATCCCTCTCGTGGGGATACGACTGTTTATGTGCTCCAGCCCTTTTTGAGTTAGTGATTGATATAGTAGAACACAGCTGGGGCCACGCATTTGGGGGAGCTGCTAGCCATTGCGACCAGACCGGAAATGTATCAACTGTTCCTTCTCACGAAATACCTCGTGGGTTAGACCCAAGATGAGAATATTTGTGTCCGAAAAAATACCATAGTCTTGCCTTGATCAACTTCAACTTAAACATCCACAATGCCAAGTCGTCTTATATAAAACCCGGTAATGAAATTGAAAAATAAACAAAGTACACATACTCGTACGATTTCATAAAAACTATTGCCGATCCAAACCTTACAAACATCACGGGATTCTTTGTGTCATTTTGGTGAAACCAAAATCTGCATAGTCTATTTCTAATAGACCGAGTAATTGGTTAACCGCATGGGGGTAGATGTACAAAATTTACGGTAATGTTGTACCAACACTCCCAAATATCCTGGCACATTCATGTTATCGTGTCAAAGTACTAAAATAAAAACATCTCACCGATATATACCATATATAATCATATTCTATATAATCTGTCAATTCGAAAAAAACACAAGCAATGGTCTCGGTCAATAGTATTTGGCAGAGGCAGTTGACTCCTTTCAACTCTAACCCCTTTCTTTTCAACGAAACCCATTAATTTGTTCGTGACTGATAACTCCTGACCCTGCAAAATAACCCTCAATAACCACAGTATTGTGTTACCATGAAATTATGACGTACTGATCTTTCCTTTCCAACATTTGCATGCTGTTACGCACGTGTCGTTTGTGTACAAGATTATCTTGAGCAGTTTTGCCTCACCCCCACCTCTACCCCACGAGAGAGCAGGTGTGACTAAGTTTCAATTTGAGGCAAATTACCGCGTTCCCCGATAGACTAACCGAGCGCGACAGGCCGAGTTCATCTGAAGGAGGGCTGCGGTGATTTGTGGTCTGTGATCGCGGTTGGACACGGTCCCGCGCGCGACAATATTTCTTCCCCACGTCGACGTTGTTCATAGTTGCTGGCAATAACCAGGAAGACCAAAAGTGGAAGATCAGCCTCCATCGTAGACGTCTT